AATGCTACAATAACAGGTATAACAAAACATTATTTTGCGTAGAATATAAAAATATAATACGCTTTATAGAGAGAGAGAGAGAGAGAGAGAGTCATAAAAATTTTGTTTTACAGAAAAAATGTTTTACAGACTTCTGCTGCCAAAGAGTATTACAACAATGTGAAGTTTGTAGGCAAAACATCAAAAATAAAAATAATTATTAATCTTAATAATAGCTATTTCATCGAAATAAAAGGATTAAATGACACATAGATTCCAGGAAATCGACAATCAATGATCGGTAACGAATCAATAATCACATCGACGATAATCGCGATAATCGCCGATGAATCATTTCGTCACACCTCTAATAGCAATTTCGAGCACACTGTGATTCATGAAAAACGGTGGCCCGTGAAGCGACGTGACAAAATTATGCGAATACTATAATTATAGCGCGCAGTTAGCAGCTCTGCTCCCACCGCGTGTCCGGGCGCCGTCCAATGCCGTAGTGAAAAGTGAAGCTAGTCTCCTGCCTCTCCGGACGAGTGGTTACGCCCCGTGCAGGGTCAGCCTCGCGGATCCGCGCCGCAAGTAGTTATGTTTACGCGGCGTTCACGGCTGCCAGACCGCGTGCGTGTCGGTTAGTCCAAAAGCAATCGTCACGAAGTGGTTACCGCGATTCGAAGTCTTATCTGTACGATGAATACTTAACGAAGCTCGTGTGAACGACGACGTCGTGTTCGCCGCGTGCATTTTCCGCATCGTTTTACGTGACATTCGCGCGATCACGCCGATCGCGAATGCAACGAGCGTCGCAGAGCGTTCTTCGCCGCTAAGAACGCGAAAAACTTGGTGAAATTTCTAGTGCCAAATTAATTGCCCAAAGAGTGGTTCTAGGTGTGTTTCATAATCGCATCGCGCGAATCCTCGCTCGAATCTCTTCGCCATCGGTCCGAAATCGTTCGCGAAAACACGTGTACGCCGCATAAAGGGAACGAGCTTGATAGTGCTGAATCAAATGACATTCTCCGCAGTCTGATGCAGTCCGCAGGAATTTCCAGATTGGATGTGTTATCGCGAATGTAACGTTCGATAGCGGTATTATCAGTCGCAGATTCGGCGCTCGTGTTGCCCGTATCGCCGCTCGAGATTGCGTGGTGCTTCTGACGCGTTCCTTTTTTTCTCCTCTGACGTACACAGCGTACATAATATTTGTCTTCTACGAGGTGAAGTCTAAAGCTATTTCGGAATCTCGTGAACGATATCACAATAGTTCCGTCGAAGAAAGTGTTACGCCTTCTTGAGTGTTGATTATGTTAGCCGAGACGTGTCGAGCGTGTTAACTTCCATTAGCTGGCCATAATTAATATGCACCGGCACGCGAAAGGTAGAGCCGGCGTACCCTCAATGATTATTGTGAAAGAGAGAAAGGAACATCTGGTATAGCGGAGGTGCTAAACACTCTACCGTAAATTCTAACAGCAGATTCTTCGATTCTCTCCATACGTTACCGCTGCGATCTTCGTCGAGCCGCAAAGATTCCGGACTTTACGAGAAGCTTTTGCACGACAGCAAAAAACTCTGCTTTTCAATGACATTCTGTTAATTATTGGTCGAAGATAAGAAAAATCGTTCGCGTAATTGTCTCAACGCTGTAAGATAGAAGAGGATTAAAACAAGACTCTCTTCAGAAAGCATCAAGCTCTTCAATGAGCTTGAATGGCGACGATGGGAGTTATCGTATATATTCCAAGTAGGTAATTTCGTTTTATGATGCATTTTAATTCGTTACGATAGCAATTCAGACTTTATGATGCCATTTCGTTTGAAAAATCAAGCTGTAACGATTTATTCTTCTAACATTGCGACTTTGTAATCTTTTACTGCGATAAACCTACCAAATTGTTATTATAAAAAAAAAACGTATTGCTGAGATAAGGAGACTTGAAAAAAAAATATATCGGTGACAATGTGAATTTGAAAGCGCGTTGGCGTATTTCTCTGTCGCTTATCTACCTTGAAACACAATATCCGATTGGCAGGACGGTAGAAGTGAACTGTGAAAATTGCAACGTCACTCGAATTTCCATGTCGCGATCGCGTCGCATGTTTATCGACCCTGACTCGCGCGACCAGGAAGTCGGAAAAATTGCGCCTCTCAATCGGTGCCTCATGAAAGAGATAGTACGTGATATACATATTTACATTGCCCGATCATACGATCTGCGTCATTGGCGATACGCGTCGTAGCTGACCGCACATTGCGGTCCGATTAGATCGCGTCCATCGCTAATGAAATCATCTTGGGTGTAATTAAATTAGAATGAAGATCTAATGGTTTGCTCGAATAAAAATAAGCGTTACGTAATGCAACGTCGAATTAAACGCACGGCTGATCCTTGAAAAGTAACGCTTGACGACGTGATAACAGTATCTTCTGTGTCATGCTGAGTCATGATAATTCGGTACCTGGTGCATATGCGGTAACTCTACACGTTACAGATTGTATAAGTGTTATGCGAGATCGTTATAATTTACGAGGCAAATAATGTAAGCGATTTATACATTAAAATCGTAAATAACTGAATAAAATAGTTTTTTTTTTTAATTATTGATGAAATTAAAATGCCGTACGAGCGTAAGTCAAAATGTAAAGGAAATTAAAGGAATCAAATTCTTTAATATAATACAGGATTGAAATGTAGGTCATTTTACAGGACTTTTTTAATAAAAGTCTTTATTTGTTTACTTTCTCTTGTAAATTCAAGAGAAAAATTGTAAAAGGATGAGGAAAAAATAAGAGAGGAGGAAAGAAATTTTAACGATCGATAAGTCTACAATATGTTGCGCGAATGTTCTAGGAAGCAGCTTATCGCCTTATTTACAAAAGACGGAAATGAGAGCAATATCTTTTGCTAATATCTATCTTGAAACCGAAGAACGCGAGCACGATAACAACAGATCTATCGTACATATATAGTACTTAGTAATCCATGACTGATAAGGATTTTGTAACATGTCTACTACAAAGTTTCACTTGTTTAATTAAAGCCATATCTGTTTGAAACTTTTTTTCATAGATAATCTAATAAATTTACAAGTCTTAAAATTTTCCATTTATTTTCCATTTATTTTCCATTCTTATTTTATATATTTTAAATGTTTACTGGTATATCAAAATTCTGTGATGTATTGCAAGCGCATATCGTCTTTAGGTTTTATATAAACACACGTTTGAAAATAAACGCGAATAAAAGATTAGCACAATTAATTGTACAATATGAAACGATACGAGTTAAAGGGAATGCAGCGCAGTTCCTTTCTGAAAACTAGTTGATAATAGCTAGACTAAAACCTAGAGTCAGTCACGTACAGATCATAAGCATCAGTCACGCTGGCTGCTTCTGAGAAGCAATCGTATCAGCGCATGGTTGCATCTTGGAAGCATATCCTGTCGATTTAAAAAAGTAAATATATACGTTAATATGAGGAAGTAAAAATTTTCTCAAATGGTTCCGTCCGCATTACGAGCCACACAAAATCACATTTTATTTACACAAACAAATGTTTTAAACGTAATTTATACTGTATCGCTTTTATGACACATAAAAATATTCAGAAACTACGTTTTTTAATAACGACTGGAAATTTATTTATTTTATTTATTTATAAACGTCAATGATACAATTTTGTATTTATAAGTGTCGAATGTGTAAAAACTATTTCTTCTTACGTGAACGAGGGAAAGATAAGGCTGAAGTGACCATCCAATAATTATCAGCTTGCTTACTTTATGAAAACATTGTCTCTAAGTAGGCATAAGTGTGCTACACTTTAATAATGTAATCAAAATCTTGGTAGGTGAAATGTTTCAAATATTTCAGGACAAGTGAGATTACTCGTTTTAACACTTAAAAACGCTGACAAATGGACAGTTGTTTTTTTTTAACCGTTCAAATGAATACCGATTTAATTCTGTTGATTCTCCACCTCGAAAATAATTGAAATTGACATTTTATTTATTCATCTAATAAAACATATCGATTGTCTGTTTCAAAATAACTGCGAGAAAACACAAATCGTTAAAAAATTTGCAACAACTTTATTTCTTACACCTAAGTTACTACGACGATAATCCGCTGATAAAAAGATTTATGTGCCAATGTGTTTTATCCATGTTTGTGCACGTCTTTTTCCCCCAAGTCTTATCTTGCACAACCAGTGGACTTTAAATCCTATTGATATTAATAGACATCTTCGATCAATGATATATTTTCAATTATCTTGAATTGTCAGACTTCCTTGAGGCATATAATTCTTTCCATAATAAACACGAAAAGGTTTAATATCAAACGATAAAACTGGGCACAAAGCCAATAATTATGTACAAAATCTACGAATTATACTGTATACAATATACGAATAATAATGTTTCCTTTATTAATTATTGAACAATCTGTCAAGTGATAATTCTTCTCTCTTTTTTTTTTTTTGTTTTTAGACAAAGAAATTCCGCGAAGCACAGCATATTTCTAGTCATGAAACTTGCGCATGTTGTAAACAGTCGTTCGTGCAAAAACCGGTTGTAGCAAATGTCATGTTTGCGAAGTTACGAAGAAGTATTCATTATCGAAAGGCCCAAATACCGACGTATCAGAAGTCGGTGTTCGTTTCACTGTAAAAAGCTTTTTGTAGTCGCGTTAAACTACATGCAAACATGATATTTGCGAAAGAAGATTGGTTCTTGAAGAATTTTCATACAGAATATAGACGACGGCCTACTTCGGCATGCGGTATTTCGCAAATATGCTTTTGGGATTGTAGATACAAAACTACATTCACACGAGATAAGGTGCACAATCAAGATTACACGAAGTGAAAGAATTCAAGCGCTTCGCTTGTACATATCATGTTAACTGTAAGAGAGATAACGAAATAAGTAAATTTTTTAAATAGATGTATTTAAATTTTTTTATTATCTAATATAAAACTAATTTTTTGTATTTTTGTTGTTCCAGGCATGTATACCATGCGCATGTTGGACAATGGTAACAACAATGCATCCGGACCCACCGGTGCAGCGACTCTACCGGGTGTACAAGCCGCTGGCGGGACAACTTCGACGGCTGCGGCTGTCACGACTCTACCTGGTGTAACCGATGAAAGGATGGACGCTTCGAGCGACAGTGCTGTTAGTAGCATGGGCAGCGAACGCGTACCATCGCTCTCGGATGGCGAGTGGATGGAAACTGGATCCAATTCCAGCCATACTCAAGCTGACTCTCATTATACTATGGATTATGCTGGGTAATTAACACCCGATACCCCGTCTAATTATACGAATTTTTGGTAGATAGCAGATACGAGATTTCTTCCTTTCAATCAGAAATCGTTGCGTTTTGAAACATAAATAATGATATTTAAGAAAATATCACGTTCAATTAATAGTCTCGTTGTCTCCGAGCGATAGAAAAATGTTGTTTCAAAGTATCTTCAAAGTATTGATAATTTTATGAGTTACATAACGAATTATATAATAGAAGGAATTCGATATGCGGTATGTTTCGCAATACTTATCTATGATCTTTTGATTGCATTGCAGCAAATATCGCATGCCATATGACTGCAGCTACTCGGTAACCGCGAGAAATGCTGGCTCCCCGAGATGTCAAACAGAACGGACTATACCGCCGCCGGTCGCACAGAAAAAACATCAAATGTTCGCCAAGCGATATTTTCAGGAGCAAAACACCTGTTAGTGTTTATTGGAAATAATTTTACGATTGCAATCTCCCGGAAAGGGGAACGGTGCAGCATGGAGGATTTTAATCACGAAACGTCTTTCTAGGCTCGCCTTTGGGAGCTACCGCACATCCGACCACTCCGATGAAATATGAATATGACACGCATACGGTGGGTGCGGGTGCACCAGGGAATACATATTCTGGACCAATCGAGGGTGCAGCCGGACCACAGCCAGAAATTAAATATAGTTGTAGCGTGGATTTCAGCCGTCATCAATCTGGTACTTATACATAATATTAAAAATTATATCGTGGACAAATGTACGTTTCTGCAACTTGCAGATAATGTATAATTTTGTATAAATTTATAAATTGCTTTCTTCACTTTCAGGGCGATCTGCAATAGAACATGTACATCACAATCACACCTATCATTTGCCTGCCGAAAGCTCAGGATCTCTTCAACGTCCTATTTCCCGCGACAAGAAAAGTAACTATTTTTTTTTTGTTTTTATCTTTGGAGATTATTGGTTAAATGTGTTTATTCTTATAATTTGTATAAATTTCAGTTCGCAAAAGTGAGGCGGATGAGCATCTAACAAGAGACGAGAAGAGAGCGAGAGCATTGAGTGTACCGATTGCAGTCAGTGATATCATCAACCTTCCTATGGACGAGTTTAACGAACGTCTCAGTAAATATGATCTCAGCGAAGCCCAATTGTCCTTAATACGCGACATTAGAAGACGAGGCAAAAACAAAGTTGCCGCACAGAATTGTCGCAAACGCAAATTGGATCAAATTATAAGCCTGGCTGATGAAGTGAAAGAGATGCGAGACCGTAAGATGAGGCTTATCCGTGAACGTGAGTTTATGCTCATCGAGAGACAGCGAGTAAAAGATAAATTTAGTCAACTTTATCGTCATGTTTTTCAGGTTGGTATTGCTGCTAATTGTATTTTTTTGTATAAGTAGAAATTTGTAAGATAAAACTAAAATAAACACACTTTTATCTAAATTTACTCTGCTAGAATTAAAATCAATTTATCTTATTTTTTTACTTATCTTATTTTTTTATCTTATTTTTATAAAAATGTTAAAAATGATGAAAGAAACTATAATATATTCAATAAATTATCCTTATGTTCTCTAGTCCTTACGGGATCCAGATGGTAATCAATACCATCCGTACGAATACAGTCTTCAACAGTCTGCGGACGGGAACGTTCTGTTAGTTCCCAGAAATCAAACAAATCCGCACCAGTCACGACAGTCTTCGATGGAGCCGAAGACTAAACCCGATCCTGAGCACAAGGAATGAAACCAAGGAATCGAAGGATCATATGTCAATGTGATTGGTTATCAAAGAACTTCTTCAACAGTACGTGCGTTTAAAGCACAGTGAAAGCGAACACAGTGTCAGGGATTGAGAATCGTACGCTTTAATAAATTTATTGCGCATAACTTTTAACAAGTAGATCTTGTGATCTTACACTTGTCACATCTCACACTGTGTTTAAACGAACAACGAAATTCGACGAAAATGCTAGCTGCTCACAAACGCAGCCATGTGATTTCCGGCAATTGATTTTTTAATACGTTTAGAGATTTTAGTAGGAGAAAATAGGATTTATAATCCCAAGTGGTTTTTGTATTGATGGGTGATACTACAGTTTTCAGTTATTTTTGACTATGTATGTTTATATATTTTTTACATCCAAAGGCCACAAATTAGGCAAAAAAAACAAAAAAAATGAAATGAAAAATGGCTTAATGAATTTTGATGAAATTTGCAGGGAAGGTAATCTAGGGTGAAAGAAGAAAAATTATTATGGTGATTTGGCTCAGGATGCCATGATTTCCTAGTAATGGTGTTCTGAACTGGTTTTTTTATCCATGGCAAT